TAAAACCATGCTCACTGAGTACTGGTCGCAATGGAAAGAAGAAAAGTCGTGGCAATTTATTAATAAAAAATGGACTCTTGTAGATGATGATTCAATAAAGACTACGCTTTATGAACACATGCCAGAAAATTATTGGTTTGATAAAGATGGAAAAATGTGGAAAAAAAGATTGCGAAAAAGGGATGTAATAGGACTGATTCATCCGAGACCATCTCCTCGGGATCAAGAGAGGTTTGCACTTTATATACTTCTCCGCCATTTTCCTGGCGATCCAGAGGCATTAAAGGACGTTAACGGAGTAATGTGCACAACATTTGTTGAGTCTGCCAGATTGAGAGGTCTACTTTCTGACGATTCTGTATGGGAAAGAACATTGGCGGAGGCCTCGCATTTCGGCACAGCCAGCGCAATGCGATACCTGTTTGTACAGGTTTTGGTCTTTGGAAATCCGAGCAATGCTCGCGAATTGTGGGAAAGATTTGTGGATCACATGTTCAGGCCAGTAGTGGGCAATGATCCAGATGGGATTGAAAGAAAGAGACGTATTGATCGGGTATTGGCCATCATAGAAGCACAGCTTTCGGACTATGGAATGTCAAACCAACAATTTGGACTGGATTCTCCATCCCCCGGGATGCGACAAGACGTAGATGAAGCACTGGATAACTTCTTCTTTGGAGACAAAGATGAAGATGACTTTGCAAGCGGTAAAAAGTTCACGATAAAGCTCAATGATGACCAAGAAAATGTTTGGACTACCGTTCAAAATGCCATCAACGGAACTTCATCCAACACTATCTTCGTAACAGGAGATGGTGGAACAGGAAAGACTTATCTATTTAATGCTATAATTTCACGCTTAAGAGACATGCGCATCCGTGTAATTGCTTCGGCATATACTGGCTGCGCAGCGACACTTCTGACTGGTGGTGCTACCGTTCATTCGGTTTTCAGATTTGGTATTAATATTGACGAAGATTACACCCCGTCAGTGTCAATGCAAAGCTTCCACGGAAAGCGTATTAGTGACAGTCAAGTTATCATTATTGATGAAGTTTCTATGCTTCCTAAGCATATGTTGGAGGCAATTGATCGAGTCTGTAAACAAATGTGTCCTCAAAATATGAATCATCTTCCATTCGGCGGAAAGGTTATAATTCTCAGCGGAGACTTCAAGCAATCACTTCCACTGGTTGCTGGAGGTGGGATGAGAGATCAAGTAAACGCTTGCATACAGTCTTCACAATTGTGGCCGCTTTTTAGAAATAATATAATTACGCTGAACATCAACATGCGCCAGGGACAAAATGAAATTCAGTTCACTGATTGGTTGCGAAGAATTGGAAATGGGGATTTTAATAAGGAAGTGGAGATTGAAAGTAAGAATTTAGTGGGTTCGCGCCAAGAATTGATGAATTTTATCTCTGACAATGGCCAAGCTCTTTCAAATCCGAAAGAGCTCATTCACAGACTTATCTTAGCGCCACATAATGACACAGTAAATGTGATCAATGAAGACATGCTAAAACTGATTAAGACCAAGGAAAAGATTTATTTCTCGACTGATGAATCAAACGTTGAGATGCCAATGGATTTTGATGAATGTGATAATGATGTTGAATCATTAAATCTTTTAAATCCTCCGTCAATACCACCACACCGGTTACACCTCAAAGAAGGGTGTATTATAATTCTTTTAAAGAATTTGGGAGTAAGTAGAGGGCTTGTGAACGGCACAAGAATGATTGTAAAAGGATTAGGGGATGATATTTTGAAGGTTGAGGTTGTAACCGGTTCTGTGGCTGGATCCGGAAATATTATTTGTCTTTCACGAGTTTGGTGCGATTATGAAGACAATAGACCAGATGGAGTTAAGTTCAGACGGTTGCAGTTTCCTGTTCGTCTTGCATATGCAATGACGATCATGAAGGCCCAAGGCCAGACTGCAACGCGAGTTGGACTCGACCTCACACATCAAGTGTTTGGTCATGGTAATTTATATACAGCTCTTTCGAGAGTTCGTACAGGTGATATGTTTAAAGTTTTCGCACCACATGTCAATGAAAACGATAAGACTAAGAATAAGATGATAAAGAATGTAGTCGCCGATGGCTTAGAATTCTTCTAATGCCTTATTGAACTTTACACGGACATGTTTCACAACGCTATGCCACTGGCCTGGACATAAATACCCAGAGCCTTCGCCAACGTTTGCTTTAAAGTCGCCAAATGGCGAAAATGTTACTTGATCTTAGCCTCTAAGACGCCTTTTGGCGTATGTATACTTGATCTATAGCCTCTCGGTCGCCGATGGCGGTAGGAATACTTGTAAATATTGTATATATTTTTGAAAAATAAAAAATACAAAAAAATTTTAAAAATTAAAAACCTAAAAATTTAAAAATTCCTAAAAAAATTACAAAAAAATTTCGTATCCCAACAAAAACAAAAAAATAAAAAAAATTTCTTAAGAGACAGTATTCTAAAGATAAAATTACAAAAACAGAAAAAAAATTCAAAAATTAAAAATCCTAAAAATGTAAAAATAAAATAAAAAATTATAAAAAAATTTCTTATCCGAAAAACATTTAACAATACAAAAAAATTTCTTATCCAAAAAATGGTGTACACGGTCTTCCACACCTGACAGGCCTCCCCGTGGCCGTACACCGGTAACTCCTGCTATAAAGGCTGTTGTGAGCTATGCAGTTGAGGCTAACTATAATAGTCACAACACTATTATGGAGTCAAAGTGGTCAACCCATAATAACCAACTCCGGTAACTTTGTCAAATTTACCCCTAAATTTTTACATAAAATATTTATAGACTCAGCTCGATAAGGGCTTTCAAATGATATATAATTTGCCTAACTTATCTTTTTTTTTGGAGAAATACTTTTTTGGACGAAAATTTTGGCAGAAAAAATCACGAAAATTTTTAAAAATTCATATCTTTTTTTAAATACCCTCTATTGCCTCATTTTAAAGTTCTATTCTATGTAGAAAAATCTGCTCTATCAGTGAAAAATACTTCCATTCTCAACCGCTATCGACAATCGTGAAAAATTTTCGAAAAACCGAAAATTTTTGAAATTTTTGAAAATCGACCCCTACGTCCCCAGCTTAGGAGTTACATGGATTTTTTTTCATTTTTAAAAATTTCTAATTTTAAGTATTATTTTATAAAAGAAACCCCTCCCAGAAATCCCAATCCTTTCTAAAGTTATGACCATTTATAAATTTTAAATATTTTCTATAAGGGGTACCCCTTTGGAATTTATCGGGGGTACAAAATTTTCGAATTTTAACTCAAAAATGTGTTTTATAGTAGTATTACACACGCTGAGTACGAATCCGATGTCGAAACAATTCTAAAAAATGTCTTGGGTTAATTAAAGTCTCAGAAACATTTCGGTCCCAGACAACTATTGGCCCTTATCTCACTCAGACTCAAGTGGAAACCCGATAAAGTATATATTTTTCGAGTGATTATAAATTGCTTTACAAGAATATGTGAGTATGTTTCACTAATCACGCTTCTTCAGCTACTCCACCTTAAGCACCCCCACCCGTGAATTTTTAAACCTCTATAACTTGGTCAAATTTGATCCAAGATTTTTACTAAAAATATTTTATGATTCAGCTCGATATGGGCTTTCGAATGATATATCATTTGCTCTATTTAGCTTTATTTTTGGAGAAATAATTTTTTGGCCGAAAATTTTGGCCGAAAAATTCTCCAAATTTTTTGAAAATTCATATCTTTTTTTAAATACCAACTATTTACTCATTTTAAAGTTATATTCTATGTAGAAAAATCTGCTCTATCAGAGAAAAATACTTCCATTCTCAACCGCTATCGACAATCCGGAAAAATTTTCGAAAAACCGAAAATTTTAGAAATTTTTAAAAATCGACCCCTACGTCCCCAGCTTAGGGGTTATGTGGATTTACTGCATCTCAAAAAATTTCTAATTTTTAGTATTATTTTATAAAACAAACCCGACCCAAAAATCTCAGTTACTTCCAAAGTTATGACCTTTTAAAAATTTCCAAATATGTTTCATAAGGGGTACCCCTTTGGAAAAAATCTGTGGTACAAAATTTTCGAATTCTGACTCAAAAAATGTGTTATATAGTGGATTAGCATGCGCTGAGTCTGAATCCGTTGTCGAAAAAATTCTAAAAAATTTTTCCGAGCTATTAGAGTCTCAAACACATCTCAGTCCGAGACCAATTTTTACAACTTTTTACCACTATCCGACTTAGACTCAAATGGAATCCGAACAAAGTATATATTTTTCTAACAATCACAAGACGCTATAAACGAATCTAAACACAACTAACGAACATCTCCAAGCAAAAAACGAAATCTAGCGTCCTTTTAAAGCCGCAGGCTTTCCACGCGCGTCCCTGGACGCGTCCCAAGCGATTCTCACCGGTACAGAAATGTAACCAAACGCTCCCCCCAGCGTAACCAAACCCAAAAGCTACACGCCCATTCAGCTACTCACCCTGCAGCTAGTTTTATTTATATAATTTTAACGGACACAATATATATTTAGGGTTTTTCCTATGCTGAGTGCTTAGTCTTTTTAAAAATATAATTTTTGATCTCATGAATAAATGACACGCATTTTAAAATTTTTTTGGCTTAATTATTGGGTGATTAATTGGATATTTTTGGTAACTTGTCTAGTTTAGAGGTACCTGCCCCATTTATTCGCAAGGAGTAGGCCTATGAGAAGGAGTGAGGCATTGCTAGGTTTTGGGCTATTTCTTAAGGAAAATGGCAACCGTTAACTTCAGAAAAACGCGTGACACAAGCTTCTCCGAAGCCAAACAGGATCCCCATAATCGACCAAGAACACCCCCTGGCAGGATTTTGAGCTTGCGAATAAATGGGGTCCGACGCTCTAGACAAGCTCCTAATTATTTTTTGGTTTATTTTTAATTTCATTTTTTAGTCTAAAAAATTTTTAAAGCTATTGCCTATTTAAATGGATGCGTCTTTTGATCAATTTGGAGGTTATGGATGGGGAGAACAATCTGGAGGAGGTGGAGGAGGACAAGATTTTAACATTCCTACACCATTTCAAAAAAGCCACATAACTGATAAAATTCCAATCCCAGCAATTGTTGAAGATTTGTTGACAATGTCTAATGATGAGGAAAAGTATGTAATTGGTGGATACTCGTTCAATACGGTTTGGTTAAATTTTTAAAGGGGTTTTTGTGGGGAATTTTCTCCGTGGATTTAGGTTGGTGTAGTTGGATAGTTTTTGGACATCAACTCGGAGGGGTCGTGGTTCGAACTCGTTTGGGTGTTTTATTTTTTAGACAAGTTTAGTTGCCTAGAAAAAGTCAATTGGACCTTCTAAAGGCATTAAAATGTTCGGTTCAAAATTTTATAAGGTTCAGATTTAGTTGGATAATTTTTACTATCAGCTTATGAGGGGTCATGGTTCGAACCCGCTGTGGTAGTTTATTTAATTAAAAGGTGATTTGTTTCTTGGCTTAACAAGTTTAGGAAAATTTTAAAATTTATTACAAGTTTTGTCGAAAATTTGGTGTAGTTGGATAGTTTTAGGTTATTAACTCTGAGGGGTCTTGGTTCGAACCCCGTTGGGTAAAAACTTTTTTAAAGTTAAAGTCAATTGTTTAATTGATTAAAGAAGTCATTTTAACCTTCTAAAGTTTCCTCAAAAATTTTTAAACGCAATATTAATTAAATTTAGGTCAAAATTATGGGCAGGATTGTGAGTGTGTTTACCGATTCAAATCAATGTACTACCTACGAAATTTGTGATGGAATGGCTGATGATCCACGCGTAGCTAAACGATTTACTGTTATTCGTTATGGAGGAACTGATTTGGTTTTTTTTTAATTTTTCGTTTTTTCTAATTTTTTGAAAAAGTTGTCATGTCTCGGAACTCGATTTAGACAGACAATCTGTCATTCGAAGAGCTCTACGAGAAGAGTGTGAGTCGATCGACACCAAATTGGGCCCTGTTATTTAAGGAGTTGAAATGACTGGGTATATAAATTTTCTTAACTAGCAAGGAAACCGGCCGATCTCTGGCTTAAAATTTAGTACATAAACAAAAATTATACAATCGTGTAAAGAAAGGCGATATTCTATTGTCATTTTTTCTCGGATTTTTTCCTTTGACCCCTAAATAAAGAAGGGGTTTCAGACTTTTGGGGCGGTTAAGTCACCCTTGTTTTTCCAATCAGAGAGAGAGAGAGTTATTCTCTGCTCTACACAATGGTATTTTTTACAATTTTTGGACTTAACTTTGTCCATTTAAGTAGATTTTGTTGATTTAAATGTCATTCGAGATCTGCTCCTTGAGCCCCTTCGAATATATGTTTGAATCGAAGCCCGGGACACATGACAGAATTTTCCCAAAAATTTTTTTTAAATTTAGCAACCAAATATGGAGCAAGTCTTTTCTGAGGGCCAGACAGTTCAGGCGGTTGGAAAACTTCGACTGGTTTATTTTTAATTAAAAATTTTTAAGTTTATTATTTTTTAAAGTTTAATAACCGCCTCAGTCTTGTCAGTTTTCACATTCGGGATGTTTCAATGGAGGAAGTTGAAATTTATAAAATGGAGTGTAAACTTGCCAAGTATTACTTTTCTAAGGTTTGACAATTTTTATTTAATTTCTTTGAAGGGGAGGAAAAATTTTTTTGGAAGATTTAGGGTTAGAAATGTTTTGTTTAATTTGAGTGGTAATTAAGCGATTATTCCTAGCTTGTCGACTGGTTTATTTTTGGCATCATTCAACCGGACTTTTTTTTCTGACTTGGAACTCAACCCGGCTTTCTCATGCAGACCTATCCCTGCTTCATACCCAGGCTTGTAGCCAGGATTTTTTTTCGGGGGGGGGGGGGGGGGGGGCCAAGGGGGGAAAACGTATCCCCCTGGCTACGGGCCTATTCATACCCCTTCCTTGTCGACCCTTTTCCTGTCGACCCTTCTCTGCTTCATAAATTTTTTTATAGTTGGTTAGATTTTGTGAGAGAATTTGTTTCTGATAAAATGAAGTCCCTTTGCTTTTTTAAATTTTTAAGAAAAATTTTAATCAAAAAAAAATTATTTTTCCCTAAATTTTCTAACAGAATTTACCTGAAAATTCCCACGGATTAGACGACACAATTTTCCGCAATGCACAAACTTTGCCTCGTCCAGGAATATCTTCTCAAGCAACAGCAACAACTCCAAGTCGTTCAACTACAACTATGTCAAGTTCAATCACTCCAAGCCGTCAACAACAACCATCAAAACAATATGCTAATTTGTCACAACAACAAGCAAAGGTTTTTTTAATTTTTGGTTGAAGGAAATAATTTTTTCAATTCTTAGATAATGGATTTTATTAAACGATTTGGAGATGCAAATAAAGGTTTGTGGGGAAAAATATTTTTTTGGTTTTTTAGTTATAACGGTTCCTTATTTTTAAATCGTTTCCTTTCCTTCTATTCGGGTGGGGGCTAACTCAAGGAATACTAACTCAAGGAACAGACAAATCAAGGAACGATCAACTCATGGAATAATTTTTTTTTGAAGAATCTGAATTTTTCAAAAAATTTTTCAATTCTGTTTTCTGAAGTATTTTATTTTGTTTTTAATTCTTACTTTTTTTAAATATTCAGATTTTTCGAAAAATTCCGATTTTTAAATTATCCTATGAGTTGGTCGTTTCTTGATTTGTCTGTTCCTTGAGTTAGCCCGACACGTCTATTCAACCACTTCAAAAAATTGAATCGGGGATCCTGCTGGCAAAAAAAAACAACAACAAAATTTTCTGATTTTCGTGAAATTTTGGGAATTTTTAAGGGGAGATTTTGTCATCGATTGGACGGGTTAAGAAGGATATCGAGGGAATTGAACGAATTATGAAGGATATCAATAAAAAAAAAATTCTTAAACGTCTTTATAAAGTTTCCCTTTTTTCACTGATTTTTAAAATTAAAAAAAAAATTTTTTTCAAAAAAAATTTAGATGGAAGAGGTGTCCACGTAGAACAAATTCGTTCATCAATTAAACCTGGACAGAATTTTATGACTGATATTCAATTTTTGTTGGATGAAGGAAAAATTTATACAACTTTGGATGACGACCATTTTTCGATTATTGATGATGTTTGTTGAGGATTTTTGAGGAAAAATTTTTTGGAATTTATTTAGTTTAAGAGAATCTCTCGTTCGCCTTAATTTATTTTTAAAAAGGATATAAAATTTGACAGAAAAAAAATTTTTTTTGGTTTAATTTTGAAAGGATTTGTTTATTTCCTTATATTTCTTACTCATTTTTAAGCTAAGGTGACTAATTAAATTAATAAATTTTAATTGAAAGGGGGGGGGGGGGTGTCGTTTCCCTGGGGATATAAAGCGCCGAAATACCAAACAGCCGTAAACCATGTCTGTCATTTCGACTATTTTTAATGTCTAGAATTTCGACTTTCGTGTGTAGTTGACGCCTTTTTGGTGGTTCTTTTACTCCAACTCTGTCGCAGAGTTTGAATGTCAGCGAGGGTCAACGACTTTTCAGATTTATTGATTATTCCTCTGATAGTAGTTCCTCTTTTAGCCATTTTAAATTTTTAATTTGCTGGGAAATTTTAAATTAAATTTGTACAATTTTGGCATAATGTACATTTATTTTAGAGACACTAAAGAAGACATAGAAAGGAAGTTGACTGTTTTTCTTTTCTTTTTTCAAATTCCAGTTTGCATTATTTCTTTCTTTTTCGTTAGTTTTTTGTTTTTTAGAGATTTAAAAAATTTTTTTCAAAAATGATATTATACTGCTATACCATTCTACTAGTGCCTATGATAAGATGAAATGGATGAGCGATGGTTCTTGCTTGAATGATGGTTCTCGTTTGTTGGCGATAGATTCTGATTTTTGTTTAAATGATGAATGCTTTCCAGTTGTTGTGAGGTTTATTTTCTAAATTTTTGGGGGTTTTGAAATACCGGATCAGGTTTTGTAGGGGTTTTGTCCGTTTGGGGTTTTGTAGGAGTTTTGTCTGCATGGACATGCATTCCTTGGACACGTATCAGGGCGGGTCGGGTTAACCGAAACCTGGTCTTTTCGTCTCGAAAAGGATGATTGAAGATAGGTCTGAAACATTGCTTTCAAAGAAATTTTTGTAAAAGAAAGCTGTCTTTTCGACCTTCCATAATTTTAAAGGAAAAATCTGGTTTTCTGACATCACCGAACCTATCCATTTTTCTAACCCGACCCTGATATGTGTATTTCTGAAAATGCAACGATTTGGCGGTTTAACGTGCGGATGAATATTCTAGATTTATTAGGTATTTATTGGGTCAATCAATTTATTTTTCTGAATAAGTTGAGCAGGGCACACTCCCTCCATTGCACAATCATGTAAATGTAGACGGGACTAATTCTCAAACAGATTATAAAAGCGTTCATGTCTGAAGGCAAAATTTTGTATGGCATTTTCTAGAGATGTCCGAGACTCTTGGTCTTGGTCTTGGAACCAAGACTTTTCTTGGTTTTTTTTCGGTCTTGGTCTTGGTCTTGGGGTGTTTGTCTTGGTCTTGTCTTGGTTTTATTTTTTGGTCTTGGTTTTTTGGCCTTTTTGGACCTAGTGCTTGGCCATCCAAAATCCTCAAAATTTTCGCCTGCGGCGCAGAAAATGGAAGAAATCTGGCTTCTTGAGCTCCAAAATTCAAAAAATTTTCGCCTGCGGCGCTAAAAATGTGAATTCTTTTGGCCTACGGCGTTCCAAAATTTTCAAAATTTTTGCCTGCGGCGCAGGAAAAGGAAGATTTTTGGCTTCTTTGCTTTCATAATCCTCAAAATTCTCGCCTGCGGCGCTAAATCCCACGGCTATCCCTCTTAATCTTTTGATATCACTAATATCCCGTTAATCCACCCAAACCCTCTGAAATAATAACCTAGTTTATTGATTTTCCAGAATAAATTCCCCGAAATTCTTTGAATTTCGCATAAATTTTTCGAAATCATAGATAATTGTGCTGAAGTTGACTGTGATCGTATCAAAATAACAAAAAATAAACCAAAAATTTGACCTATGGGATTTAAAAATTTGGTCTTGATTTTTTGTCTTGAGTCTTGGAGTTTTGGTCTTGGTCTTGTGTCTTGGTCTTGGAAAAAATTTTGTCTTGGGTCTTGAGTCTTGGAAAAATTTCGGTCTCGGACATCTCTAGCATTTTCCCCCAACCACTCTCTTCAACCCGATTACCTATTTAACTGTTATTTGTAGTCTACTTGACTGTTTTGCATATAAGTCAGCAAAAACTGATTTTGGGCAACCCACAAGTACTATTTCTAAATTAAATTTAATTGGTACGTCCCACTTTGTCGTTAGCTAATTTCTCTCAGTTTACCTTAAACCCAACCTTAAACTCCTCTTATTAAATAACCTTAACTTTGGATGGGTTTCGGAAGCAAAAAACCGTTTTTTAATCACTGCGACGAAATGGGCGAAAAAAGTAGCCAACGACAAAGTGTCCTGTCCTAACTTGGTAATGAAATAGTATTAGAGAAACAGAAAAACCATTCTTATTCAAATTTAAAAATGGCTTCCTTTTCTGCTTTAAGTTTTCGATTTTCTGTTTTTGAGATTGTGCTACCTTTCACCTGATTTTTTAAATTAATTTGTTCTTTTTCAGATTCATTTATTAAATTTTTCTTCACCTCAATTTATTCAATTGTGTTAAGAAGGTGGATCTGAATCATGGCAATGATGTTGTTTCTACTCTTGTGAATCCAACAAGGTTTAGTTTAAAATTTGGTGGTTGGGCTTCCAAACAGCTTTGGGGTTTTTACTTAGATTTTGTTGAAAATGCTCTATATATTGGGGTGAAGTTTGGTGCCCTTAATAAGTTTATTCCTCCGTTTCACTAGTTATTGAAAGCTCGCTCAGCCAATGAGGAACCTTTCAATGAAATAAGGGGATAGGTTAGGCATGGCGTCGATGGTTGAGCTTTTTTACGCTGGTGCTTACTTGGCTCGGGAGCAGGCCCGTAGCCGGGGGGGGGGGTGAGGGGGGGAATTCCCCCCCCCCCCCGAAATGGGAAAAAGGAAAAAATTTGGGGAAGGGCTGGGGCAAAAAAAGTGAATTTTTTTGGCCTACGGCCTCTAAAATTCTCAAAATTTTCGCCTGCGGCGCTGAAAATAAAAATTTTTGGCGCCTTCGGCGCCAAAAATTTGGCGCAGAAAAAATTTTCCCTTCTTGGCCCCCCCCCCCCCCCCCGAAAAAAATCCTGGCTACGGGCCTGCTCGGGAGGCAAAGAAGTGGCGGTTTTCGTTCTAGGATTATGTTGAATTTTGCTGACTTTCTGTCCTTCTAACAAGGGAACATTTCGAACTGTGAGTAAAAAGTTCGAAATAAAAGTTATACCATCGTGTAGAGCATCGTCGAAAACCTTTATGGTTTCCGGCTTTTTCGGCTCCGACCCCCATTTCGAAAAGTTATAGGTCTTCAAAGTTTTCGACTTTTGGAGCGGTTGAGTCGCCCTCACTTTTCTTATTATTTGTCTTACCAAAGAGAAAAAATCCTTTTCTCCATTTTTCCTTTCTTCTTCTTTTCCCATGTCGGTTAAAGAAAGAGAAAAAGAGGAGAGGAAAGAAAAGGAAAAGAGGCATGTCTGCCATTTCCTCTTTCCTTTTTAATTGACATTAGCTGCAAGGCAGAGGTGCCTCTTTAGTTTTCTTTTTCTCTCCTCCTTTTCTCTTTCTTTAACTAATATTGAAAAAGAAAAGGAAAGGAAAAAAGGAGGATGGGAGTCTTATTTTTCTCCTAATAAAAGAAAACTCTCTCTTTGTGAGGGCGACTCAACCGCTCCAAAAGTCGAAAACTTTGAAGACCTATAACTTTTCGAAATGGGGGTCGGAGCCGAAAAAGCCGGAAACCATAAAGGTTTTCGACGATGCTCTACACGATGGTATAACTTTTATTTCGAACTTTTTACTCACAGTTCGAAATGTTCCCTTGTAAGATTTTGTTTACTTCAATTTAAGGTTGTCAGTTCTGAACCGAACCAATGATTTTTCGGTTTAGTTTCGGATATCCGAAGATTTTCCAAGAACCAACAACCCTACTTCCATTTATATTTTCATTTAAAAAGTCTCTATTTTTTACTCATTTCTTTATTTAGGAGTGACTTGTGTGAAAGTTTTGGACTGTATTTCAACCAACCATTGGAAGTGTGTGGCTGCAGATGGTATTTTTCGCAAGTTTAATTTTTTCATTAATTAGCTAACTTAAAAAAGGGAACTTATGCAGTTTGGGTACAAAACTGCATAAGTTCCTAAAAAAGGATGGCGCTACTTTAGAAAATGCGCCTCTGAACTTTATGCGTTCTTTCAAAGTATAAACGTCCCTGAAAAAGTATAAGCTAGCAGTAGAGATCGAGACGGGTCCATTAAGGTTTTTAATTATTCCCACAAATTTCCACAGGCACTGAAAATGGAAGGAATCTGGTTTCTTGGCCTTC